TCTCTCTCTCTCTCTCTCTCTCTCTCTCTCTCTCTCTCTCTCTCTCTCTCACGATGAACGATGCGTCATATCTCGAAAAATTAGTCCGGCTATTATAGCGACTACACTTTCATCCGTCGGCGAAGGATACGCTTCGGAAATTATGAAAAATTACGTTAGAACGTTCGCCCGGAACGTCCGAGACCTACTACGCCACTTTTCAGATATTAATGGCGAAAATGACAGTAAGCCGTTTCAAGAGAATTAGATCTTACGTACGATAAAGAGGAATTTCGACGAGTCAAATTTTAAAAATGTATAACGGAAATAGAAGAGGAAATATTATTTATCGTCTATAATTTCCATTCTGCGAGAAGAAAACTCTCTCTCTTCTCGATGCTATCTACTAATGTTAATATATTTTTACGCTGACATTTAGCGCTCACTGTCTTTATTACTTTCCGCCTTCCGTCGTCGCGCGCGGAATAATGCGCGGGGATAAAGAACGTTTAAGCCGAGTGAAATTGTGACATTGTACTCGGTAATCGCTGCCAAACACTCGTAAAGCGCACTCACTTTGAACTGCGACCAGAAGCTCGTGGGCCATTGCCAGGAATAGTCGTCATCAGCAGAACTCGCACTACTACTGGCGTGGCTTTGTGTGTCCAACCACAGCGTACGGCCTTCGTCTTCCTTCACTGTAAAGCAGTCGAGAAAAGTCGGGTGTTTAGAGTAGCCTTGCGAGGATCGCACCGTCGAAATGCGCGAATACGCGCGAATACGGGAATGTAGTTGAATGAAGGAGAAATCGCCGGTTATACATAATTTTTTTTGCGCTTGGCTTTTTTAATTAAATAACCGCTTATTGCAGTTTATCTTGTCGCGACATTCTTAAATATCAATGTAGCAAGTCTCTAATGATTAATCATTTATATAAATTTACATGACGTTCTATTATTATTTCTTGCTATATTAAATTTATTTTGTAGACGTAATTTTTTCATTATTTCACGGCCTCTGATGTAATTAAGAAACAAAAATTTAAAAAACAGAAGAGTGGTTAAATGATTACTAGTTTTATATACCGATATAAAAGAATTTAATTTTCACCTTTATGCATAATGAGAGGCAAGAAATTATTCAGAAATTATTAAAATCCTAAAGTCTCCTGTAATTAAATCTTTCTTCACGATCCGCTTAATATTTTATTATCGGACGATATTGAAAAAGAAAATTTCGTTTAATTTATTCCAATTCAACTTAAATTGGTCAAAGTGTTTTAAACGTTGCTCGCTTAAAAAAATGACCTCGATTTCGAAGCACATGCTTTTGTTTGATCAACCCCCATTTATTATTTGGTTTATTATTTGCTATCGAGAATTAAGGCGAGATGATTCCGGTCTATTTTCGAACCGTCCACGGATACATGTATTTACACCGAGAGAACGAGAAGATAAATAATTCCGAGGAATCGGCACGCCGTAGCCGCGCCGTAGCGCTCCGCGAGTTAAAAGCTTTAAACACTCAGCGGGACAGGTTCGGTCAGGTTGCCTGTCTTCAGCAGTTCATAAAGCGGCCCTTTCAACATTCGCCGTAGGTCTCGGCGAGATACTCGATCTTTGAGCAAGTGCACACTTTAAATGGGCACATCGGAGCCGTAACGGTCCGCCTGCGGTGTATGGGGGAAAGTCTAGGTGTGCATACATTTAAATACATGTATCGCCGGTATGCATACTATACCGTTGTGGCTGATGTGGTGCTCGTGATAATGGATGAGATGGTCGCAGAGCGGATGTTGGCTGGGATTATACTCCGGGCGAAGTTCCGGTGGGCAGTCAGGTCCCTGTCTTGCAGCTCTCGCCGCGGCCACAATGCGATCTCGAACCTCCTCCGGCCCCTTTATTTGTTCCACTGAAACAGAAGTGTTTCGGCTCACAACCTCTGGTCGACCTCTTTTCTTTCTTCGATTCTGATTCATTCGCAAGGCATTCGACGTAAAAACGTACATCGTGTATCATTTCAATTATATTCTAATTTTGCCGAATACAACATAATATTTTTTATAATATAATTCCGAGAAATCGGCACGCCGTAGCGCTTTTATAACGTATTTGTTAAAATATATAAGAAAGAAAAAATGAAATTTTATCACGGAAAATATATTTGAAAGATTATAAAGAAACTGTCATCTTTTTTCAAACATTGTGAATCCCGAATGAATTCGAGAGATGTCTCAAAAGAAATAAGGATGCACAAAACAAGATTTTATTTGTTAGGTGCATCATATCATTCGCTAATCCAACTCTAGGAAATCAGATTTGGCATAAAGTAAAGTGCACTCACGAATGAAATCTGCGGGGTTATAATGTGGCAATAGAGTAAGTCCTATCGTTGAGAAGAATCTACCGACATTCGCCGTCGAGCCATAATACGCCACCTGACCGTTGCTCAGTAAGAGAAGCTTACTGAAACTGTGGAACATTCTGGAACTAGGTTGGTGTACCGTCACCACGATGCTTTTACCCTCTTGCTCGGCATATTTCTTCAACCGTGAGATCAATGCCTGTGCCGAGTGTGAATCGAGTCCACTCGTGGGTTCCTGAAAGATACAAAAACATTCCATAAATTAATGCAATCACGGTGTTAAGTCTAGAACACTTTTTCTGGATAACTCTCGTGGAAAATTATTTCATATTATTTATCTAATTTAAGTATTTTTTAGCTTAAATGAAATAGGAATAATTCCATGTCCATTTCACTCTAAGAATTTTATGACTTTTTAATATCATGAAAATTCAGATCAACGGGTTATTAAAAAGAATTTCGTTATTATAAATATTATATCCTTGAATTTACGGTTTAGATCCACATAAGTTTTCATAAATTTAAATTCTCCTAATAATAAATTCTTCCGATTGATTAATATTTCAAGATTTTTTTAAAGAATATTTAGATCCCTATTTTTATTATAATATAAATATAAAATATATACAACAAACAAAGAATAAGACAAAGATCCAAGCGCAGTAAGAAGAGCGCAAATGTTAATTTTTTAACAACATTTAATTTAATAAATCTTAAACGTTTCAATTAATTTTTTTATCTTCAGCAACAAAAATAAAAAGAAAGAAAACTAAATAATTGAATAAAAAATGTATGTATAATAACATAAAATATATATGAGCATATTATATAGCATATTATAAAACTATTAATTTTAGATTCGTTATAAATATAATAAAACTTAAATCATAGAAGCTTATAAAAATAAGATAAACTTACATCAAGTAACATTAATGACGGATTCGTGAGTAATTCGCAAGCTATACTCGTCCTTTTTTTTTCACCACCAGAGATTCCGCGCTTCGAATAATCTCCAATAACTGTATAAGAAATATATTATTAATGTCACATATATTAGAGAAATTATCATATGACAAAATGCATTTAAGACATTTACATAGATAAATAATCGCGAACTTTAAATATTAAATTTCAAGTGATATGCGTCATCTTTCTATTTTCTATATACGATTATGCGCAACGTCGCGAATAATACGCGAAATACATTCGTATTCGATTGTACGAGCGGTGAGAAGCGGAGACCCGTCGTCATATGAAAAATATTGAAAATGTAGGCGATCGCAATTACCATGTCACGCATCTCACCGAGGCGCAGGAAAAAAAAAAGGAGGTATTTAAAGAAGGTTTCGAAGATACGGCGCGTATATATAATCTCAGACAACAAAGCGTCAAAGGCGTTTTATTAGCATGCGAACCTACGTCCGCGGTCGCGGATAACAGAATTACGAGCAGATTATCGATGAAAAATCATCGTCGAACAATAAAGATAAATAGTTTTCCCATCGACGGATCTCGCTCGCTCTCGGCGTTGGCGTTTCCGGATTTGCTAACGCCAGCTGGAAGCCGACGAGACGCGGGGCGCGTGATTTCTGACGCGTGGTAAATTATTAAACTTCGTCGTCGCCGCCGCCGCCGCCGCCGCCGCCGTCGCCGTCGCCGTCGCCGTCGCCGTCGCCGTCGATCGCTCACGCCTTCGGGGCACAGAAAGAGAAACGAATGTATAATTGTGTGCGGGGAATAATATTTTACGTCACACGTAAAGGCCGAGGCGGTTCAGCGTTCAGCGCTCGAGGAGCTCGGGGGTTAACGATCGAGAAAACCGTTTATCAACCGACCGACAATGAGCCTGGCACTTCGCGGCGGCGGAGATGGCGCTTTCTGTACTTTCCCTCGTTTCGTATTCAGGAAAATGTCATCGCACTTCCGCTACGTTTGACGCAGCGCGGGGTTTCGCGGGTTTCGCGAATTCGAGATGAGGTTCAAAATAAAGATCGAGGATCAAATCACGAGCGATTTTTACTTTGGGGGAAAAAGAAAAAGAAAACGAAGCAGTCTTATGTCGATGAGCAACTGGATATATAAAAAGAATAAATTTGAATTCAAAGCCACTAACGAACAAGACAAAATCTGCCGTTCTCTGATTGAGATTAATCAGATCTCTTGATTTAACGCCTAATTGCCGAAACTGTTCGCTGCTGAAGTACCAATGTCCAATCCAATTTTCTCGTTAACGACGGGTCTACATTATTTTGAGAAACGATGTCCCGTCCAATTTTCTCGTTAATGAAGAATCATTAACGTCATTCCGAGAGTCTCACGACGCGAAACATGCATGTGGGTCAGTCTGTATATTACTTGGCTCGTTTTTTCTACATGCATATTTCGATAACGCGCCCGTGGTCGCTTGACTCGCGCGACGATTTGATATTCGCGATAATCGCGGAAATTGTCAATCAAAATGTTAAACCAAAGACGGATAGTCACGGTAGACGATAACGGTAAGAGCCGGTCGCGAGATTAAGCACGATTCTGCCACAACATCGAAAAGGAGAAATTAATGATTTATAGTTATAGCTATTGCATGAAAGTCGTATAAAATTGTATCAATTGAAATAATTCAGATGACTCAATTTTCATTTTTAATTTTAGATATATTTATATCTAATTTATATACTGTTAGATCGAAATGTGATAAAATAATGTGAAATAAAATAATTACACTTGTCGTACGTTTTCCGCGCGCACATATTACATTATTCCGTTTTTAACAAATCTAGATTTGCGAAAATCGAGACAATATCCGTTTCTATCAATGTTAGATTAACTCCATCTCTTCATGTAGTAGTCTCTTAATTTATTTTTCATCTTCTTTCAATTCTAAAAATTAGAAAAAGACGAAGGGTAAATTAAACCGAGAAATTAAAATTAATCTACACCGGTGAAAATAGATACAAATTGGATTTAATCGTATCTAGAACGACACGAAGTAACTCGGCTGAGCGTGCTATTAGATCGCGAAGTAACGACGCTTCCAACGTCGCTCGGGGATCCGGCAAGCCGGCGTTGTTTACATCACGAGCGCCGTACGTGCAAGCGGACTTTAACGGCCTCGGCCGGCGGCGAATTCATGTGGAATTACGACCGGTGGAATCCTCCGGGTTCCGTGATTCCGTACTCGTCGCGCGGATCTAAAAACGTCGCGGTTCGACATCGATCCTTCGGCTTTACGGCGCGCGCCGTCGTATTACTCACTGGTGTCTTGGCAGGCCGCGAGGTCGAGGACCTCGATGATGTGGTCCACGCACTGCATCTTCTGGGAGTGTGAGAGCGTATCCGGAAGCCTCAGCCTCGCCTGGTACTGCAACATTGCGATACGATGCGAATGTGAATGCGTGACGAGGAGAGAGAGACAGAGAGACAGACAGAGAGAGAGAGAGAGAGAGAGAGAGAGAGAGAGAGAGAGAGAGAGAGAGAGAGAGAGAGAGAGAGAGAGAGAGAGAGAGAGAGAGAGAGAGAGAGAGAGAGAGAGAGAGAGAGAG